TTTCTTTTAATTTCTGTTGCTGTAAGCCGCCCGGAGTTCTCCAGGATTGGGCGGCCTATAAATTTAATAAACAGTTAAACAGTTAAAAAAGGGTCCCAAGTCTTTTTTGTTTTAGCGTTATTGTTAACTTTGAACAGTCACTAAACAAACCGTCGTAAGTAGAGAACTACCTGTACACCTGTAACTCAGGAGTACCTGGCTCCCGATTCAATGACTGCCCCCCCCTTACTTAGCAACAAACATTTTGGTCCCAATTGCAGCTATAAGTTGAGCACTACCTGTATTTTCTGGGGAAATATTTGAAGGAAACAAATTATAGAGGTGACACTGACAGATAAGCAATAAAAAAGGACTAAAATTAGGTTTTAGTTTAGTTTTAGGTTTACAATACCCCAGATTTTTAATGACTAGAATCCTGAAATCTACTCCAGCGAATTTGTTTTAAAATAAACATTTCTTTTGCCTTGTGTGGTGGCCCATCACTGGCACGGTGCCTCACCTGAGGAAAATGAAAATGGCTTTTCGATACGAGATGCCGTCTATTTCTTCATAATATTCCAGGAAAGGCTTGATGGAGTCTATGAGCCCGGCGTGCATTTTATCCATTTCGTCAAATATGAAGATCGACCTGCCACAGGCGCTCACGTTGCCACGAATCCACGTTTGCAGCTGGTCCTGAGAGATTAGAAGCAAAGCTGAACTGAAGGAGCCCATCAAAAAGCGGAAAGGGAAACTGAAAGGCCTGAGCGCACTCTGCGGCAATCCACACCCAGAGGAGCAGAGATCGACACCAAGATTTAACGCTGGACCAACAATCAAGAAGTCTACAAAACGAGGAACTACCAACGCAGACGAATAAGGCAACAGCAAACAGCAGCCCAATCAAGGAGCCATTGAGAACCTCTCACCAACATCGACAAGGCAAGCCGCTTGCGTATAAAACGAGAGCAGTGCTACCTTTCTGCTACTGATGACGTTACCTAGTTTGGTAATGAAATGTCTTTCAGTACGCAAAAGGCGATCAAATGACCCCAGCGATATTGCAACCGTTGTAAATACAAGTCTGACTTTTGATGATATAACCTGGGGATGCTGGCGAAGGTGGGACAAACGGCCGTAAGTCCCTTTTAACAGGGCCTTCGAATGGTCACTAAATGAACTATTGTAAGTCGAGGACTACCTGTTACTCAGGAGAACAATGGGCCTCCCTGCAGGGTCCTCCGGATCCGCTCCCCACAGTTGCTTTCGTGGTGTGGCGACAAGAACTTGGTCCTTAACACCAAGGAGGCCAAGGAGCTTATTATAGTGGGCTATAGAAGGAACAGATCAGACGTCCAGCCCCTGGTCATCAATGGAGACTGAGTAGAGCAAAAGTTTTAAGTTTCTGGGTGTTGTCATAAAAAGAGGACCTGGCCTGGGGCAACTCACATTGCAGCCCTGGTCAAAAGGGCCCAGCAGAGATTACACTACCCGAGACTTCTTGGGAAACAGCAACTGAATGGAAAACTGCTGGTGACCTTCTACCGCCGCACCAGAGAGAGTATTTTAACTTAATGCCCTCGTGTCTGGTTCGCCAACTGCACAGGGGCAGATAGGACATCACTCCAGAGGGGCCAACGTCATTGCCCAGAGGATCATGGGTTTGCCCCCTCCCCTCCTTGGAAGAGCTTTATGGCTCCCGCTGCCTTAAGGAAGTTCAAAACATTCTCAAAGATCCATCCCATCCTGGGCAACCTTTGTTTTTTGAACCATTACCATCTGGCAGCCGGTACAGGACAATAAAAACAAGGCTGAAAAACAGCTTCTATCCCAGGGCAGGAACCCTACTGAATTCCACGGTATAGTGCAATATCGGGTTTTCAATTTCAATTGTATAGATTACAGAATGTAAAGGATGTATGTGTGTTTTTTATTTTTATAGTTCTATAAACTGAAGACGGCATTTAATTTCGTGGTCCCATGTGCAATGACAATGAAGTAAACTAACTAACTAACCTTGTAATGGCTGATGTTCTGCTGATGTGGGAAGTGCAGAGTGGACACGAACTGGTGGACGTATCTGCTCTTCAGCCCTTCGTCGTAAAGGCTTTCTGCCACAATCTTGCTGACGAAGTTTTTGCCCGTCCCCGTCCACCCGTGCAGAGAGAGCGCCAGGGGTTTCTTCGGATTCGGGTTGGCCAAAAACCCCGTCACGGCTTTCACAATCACCTCCGACACCAGGTGTTGCCCGAAGACTTTTTTCCCCAGATTGTCCTTAAGATCTGCAGCAGGGAGGAGGGGTGGGGGGGGGTGGGAACGATGGGAAAAGCCAGAATTTTTTAACAAAAGAACGATAGTCTGAGAACATTGGAATTGGAAGGTCTTCTGTAGGAATAGAGGAATGTTTTACCCCTCGGAAAGGGGAGAGCAACAAAACTTGTTCAAAGGATTCAAACACACACACACACACAGCATGGGAGAGTACAGTGAATTTAGAAAGAGTGCAGAGAAGAGCAATAAAGATGATTAGGGGACTGGAGGCTAAAACATATGAAGAATGGTTGCAGGAACTGGGCATGGCTGGTCTAGTGAAGAGAAGGACCAGGGGAGGCACGATAGCGATCTTCCAATGTACTTGAGGGCAGAGGTAGGTTCCTACCGGTTGGGCCCAATTTGGCTGAACCAATAGTGGTATACCAGCCTGAGTTGCAGAACTGGCAGCGACTCAGGCTGGCCACGCCCCCGAACTGGTTCCCCATCTTTTTTTTTTAGTTCTGCCCATGCGCAGAACAATTTGCGTTGAACTGTGCATGCACGTGCAGTGTGCATCCAGCGTGCACATGCACAAGCAAATTGGCAGTAACGCCAACTGAAATCCACCCCTGCTTGAGGGGCTGCCACAGAGAGGAGGCGGTCAAACTATTTTCCAAAGCACCTGAAGACCAGACAAGGAATAATGGATGGAAACTGACCAAGGAGAGATTCAACCTAGAAACAAGGAGAAATTTTCTGACAGTGAGAACAATTAACCGATGGGACAGAAG